TCCCCGGCCCCCTCCGTGCCCGGGTGAGCTCGGCGCTCGACCCGCTGCAGTTTGCATACCGTCCTGGCATTGGGGTCGATGACGCCATTATCTATATGCTGCATCAAGCCCTATCTCATCTGGAGTCCCCTGGAAGCATGGTGAGGGTCATGTTCTTTGACTTCTCCAGTGCTTTCAACACAATCCAGCTGTCACTGCTGAGGGGGACGTTGGAGGGGGCAAGTGTGGACCAACATCTGTCCGCATGGACCATTAACTACCTCACAAACAGACCTCAGTTTGCCTGACTGTGTGTCAGACGGGGTGGTCTGCAGCACAGGGGCGCCCCGGAGGACAGTGCTGTCCCCCTTTCTGTTCACCCTCTACACGTCGGACTTAAAGTACAGTACAACTCCCACCACTGTCACCTACAAAAGTTCTCTGATGACACCGCCTGAGGGGTGATGGGGGGGGGGGGGACTCTGAAAACACTGATACACTGTACAAGAAGGGCCAGAGCCACCTCCACTTGTTGAGGAGACAGAGGTCCTTTGGTGTGCCGGGGGCACTCCTTCTGACTTTTTATGATACTGTAGTGGCATCTGCTGTTTTTTACGCTGTTGTGGGCTGGGTGGGAGGTAGCACGGACAGGGACAGAAAGAGACTAAACAAGCTGGTCAAGACAGCTGGAGGAGCAGGAGTGTTACCGTAGGTTGCTTCTCCACACAGCAATCAGACTGTACAATACATCACTGCAAGGATAAGCTAGGTGAAAGTATGAGGGACTATGTAATAGTCAGCTGAGGTGCAATACTCAAATCCTGGAGTAAAATGCATGGTTAATATGCACATATGTAAATTCTGTTCTTGATTATTCAAATACTTGATTCTGTCTATTTTTGAGTACTTGGAATTTATCAGGATGTGTGTGTGGTGCTTGTTCTCATGGTGTTTGTTGTTTGTTCTCCATTGCTGCTGAAAAACAGAAATTTCCCCATTGAGGGATCAGTAAAGTACCTACTTACCTACAAACCAGTCGATACTTTCAAAGACTACTTCAGGACCTGAGGACCACCCAGAAGACACTGCTGTCCTCATGTTCCAAATCAGAGCAGGCACTACGGGCCTCATACCTCATAGCTCAACATATAGCAAAGGCCAAGAAGCCACATACAATAGCAGAGGAGCTCATATTACCTGCAGCCCTGGACATGGTCAGAGGCATTAGGTCAGTCTGCAGCGAATAAGTTGAAGACCATACAATGACACCATAATGCGGCACATTGAAGACATCAGCCAACATAAAACAACAGACCTTCAGCGTGGATTCAGGCCAGCGCTTACTATGCATTGCAGATGGATGAGTCAACAGATATTGCTAATCATGCCATTTCACTTGTTTATGTGAGACACATGTGGGATGGAGACATGCAGTTTCTATGCAGCCAAGACCTCCCCATGCCTACAAAGGCAGAGAACATTTTCAACGCTATTGATTTGTTTTTGGACTCTGTGGGACTGCATTGGTACAATTGTGTGGGGGTAACAACTGATGGCGCAGCTTCCATGATTGGAAAAAACTTAGGAGTTGTGAAGAAAATTCTGGAGAGAGAGTGTCAAATGCGACGTGGAAAGGTAATGTTCACGCTTTACGAGCTTAAAAACGAAATTGCCGCCTTCCTCTCACACAATAACTCCCCGTACACTGAGATGCTCAATGATGAATTCTGGCTCGTGCGAGTGGCGTATCTTATCGATGTGTTCGAGCACCTCAACACTTTAAACGTGTCTATGCAGGGGAGAGGACACAACATCTTTGAACAGACTGACAAAGTCACTGCCTTCGAAAAGAAGTTGAGGTTGTGGATAAATCACGTGACTAAAGACAATCTTGACATGTTTCGCAACTTGCCACGCAGCAGGAGAGCTAAATACAGAAATGCCCTGAAAATAACTGTCACTGCGCATCTGACCAGTCTACACGCTCGCTTTGAGGACTACTTTCCAGAGAAACATGACAATAGTCACTGAATGAGAGATCCCTTTGGAATCGACATGGAAAGCGTTGTGTTGCCAAGCAGCGAGGAGAATCAGCTGGTGGAGCTGTCATGTGACCAGATGCTAAGAAAAAAATTTGATGAGGTAAGCCTCCCCCATTTCTGGTGCAAATACATGATTTTGGCAGTCAAAGCAATTCTACTGTTCACAACAACCTATCTGTGTGAAAGTGGCTTCTCCACTTTGGTACAGCTCAAGTCAAAGCAAAGGAACAGGTTGGACACTGAACATGATCTGAGAGTAGGTCTGTCTACTATCAGCCCAGACATTAAAAGTCTTGTCAGAACTAAAGGACAACTACAGCTATCTCATTAGTTCACTGTAAAATAAAATCTTGTTTACATGTTAAGTGAAAAGAGACTAAAGTATTACCATGTTGTGTTTCCAGTTCTGCACTCAGTTTTATACATATACAGCACCCTGTTGTGTCATTCAACTGTTGTAATTATGTTGTGTTATGCAGCAGTTGTGGTGTTTATTTTTATTTTTGAGTAACATTTCCTCAATGCAGACAGAAAAATCTGACACAAAGGCTGTACTGACTATGGTTAAAAAAAAAAAAAAAAAAAAGCTTTATAATTTAATAAATTTATTTGAAATCTTGTACTGGTGGTTCGCAACTTGACAAGTGGGTTGGAAAGTGGGTCCCAGGGTGACACCAGTTGAGAAACACTGTTCTAAACTACATCATGGTGCTAGAGTAAAAGTCAGGGTGGATTCAGCTGGATTCATCCTCTGGCTATCCAGTGGTTGTTGGGATGCTTCAGTCTGCACCCTAGAAGTGGAATAGAATGACCGTCAGGATGACTGCTATCCCCGAAGCCATGCCCCTAGCATAGCTAAAACAATGTACCAGGTAATAGTGGGTGAATAAAAACTATGAAATTTCAGCACACAATGTCATGGTTATCCCTGTCAGCTATAATTTTAGTTAGTCTAACCTATTGTAAATGTTGATGATAAGGGAAGAACTTAAAAGAAACTAATTTCCTTTAAGAGCAAAATATACACCTAAATTGGAAAGCTTCACACTGAATAGACCCAGACTGACAGAATTATGTCTTCCTCTGCCATCCGTCTGTACCATCTTCAATCCAATATTTATGTTAGACCAATGAGGGAGGAACTGGCATCTAAAACAGCAAGATAATTATATAGGCCAAGAGAAGATATTTGTTTTTACGTCTTAAATGTGATTTTTATAGATGTTGACAACCTGATCCTATAAATCACTGCAGACTTAAAAGTGTGAGGCATTAAAAAAGCTCCCAAGTATTAAATTAATCTCTGTTAGTCTCCAATTCGAGTGTGGGCTCACACCCTGTTTCACCCCCAGAGAGTGCCAAGTCTAAGATCATGCTAAATTGCTCTTGTCATGTGTTTAAGACACTTGGCATTCTCAGCCCAGTGTTTTTTTATGTGATGAGTGCATTTTGTGTCCAACACAGTATACTGTAACTTGTTGACAAAAATAGCACTTTTCTGACTACTTTTTTTGTTATTCAGTAACTGCCCAGCACCAATGCTCTGTGAGGACTGAAACCATTATCCTATCTTACTCCTGGCAGTTGTGTTTCTTGTTTTCTCCCAGGCATCAGCTGGTGTTTAGGAATTGCCAAACCTCTTTCCACCAGTCATCGCTGGTAGCAAACAATAGCCTGCCCAATAAAGCATTCCCAGACCTGTCAGTGAGGACTGCCAATAATAAACTCTAATAAAAGCTGGAACACATTATGCCCTAAAGCAGGAAGTAAGCAGGAGCAACAGTTGGAACACTAGGCCCAGTTTGACATAATTTCGCTTTATGGGCCATCTGACGTCCATTGTTAGAACAAACAGAGCATAAGATAGGAAGTGCTCACAAATGTCTGGCACTGAGGATTACTGGGGGTAATGTCAAACTGGGAATGCATCCTTTTCCTAAATGACAAAATGCCTAGTTTGGCTTTGATTTGATTTGATTTATTCTTTCAAGCATATACAACAGTTGATATACCAACACACATTTTTACACACAATCCAATATCAATTTGCTTATACCTAGTACATGCTTGAATGGAGTAGGAAGAAATCAGACTTATCCAGTCCTACCCCATGGCATCATCTTACCATCATTGGTTTGCAAGCAATAAATGATTCACTTCTACACACACACACACACACACACATATTATACTAAAAAAGAATATAACAGTGTTAACATTCTTACATCACCCAAGTGATACAAGATATACACCACACCCACACTAGTCCATGTAATTAATCATTGAGCCTGTTCTTGCATATATCTTGATTGACACATACCTTTATATTTACATTTAAACTCATCAATTCTATTACTATTTTTTATGTCCACACTTAAATTATTCCATAGTTTTACCCCACTTATGGAAATACAAAATCTTTTTTTGGTTGTACGTATAGCATGAATTTTTAAATTTAACTGACCCCTTAAATTGTATCCCCCTTCCCTTTCATTAAATAGTTTTTGAATTCCACCAGGTAATAAATTGTTCCTGGCTTTATACATAAACACAGCAGTCTTATATCCCACTAAATCAAAAAAGTCCACTCTACTGGACTCAACTGTTCTACTCTGTCTACTCCACTTCAGTCTACCAGTTCACTTGACTGTGCTTCAGACCACTTCAAGGATAAGCTCACTTTATTTTAATCTGCATTTCCCGTATCACCTTCTCTGTGGTACACATTCAGGGAACAAGAAGTTGTTACCGGGGCAAGGGTTTAGCCTCTGAAAGAGTTCAGAATAAATGTAATGTCAGTCAAATGGTTTGTCGTGCTTCTCTGAGTCAAAGATTAGGCTTGGGCTGCAGGCTGAGGCTACCTACCCAGGCCTAATCTTTGCTTTCCTTCTGACTCAGAGAAGCATGACATTACATTTATTCTGAACTCTCTCAGAAGCTAACCTTTTGTTTTCCTGAATCTCTACAATTAAAGTAATGATAGCAAAACCACTGTTAAAAGAAACAGAGCAGGTTCCAAAAAGCAACGTTATCATCACTCAAGTAACTTCTAATCCAATTCAAAACCAATCCCCTGATCCCATATTTTTCTAACTTATCCATTAATAACTCATGATTGATTGTGTCAAATGCTTTTTTTAGGTCAATAAATATTCCCATCGTGTATTTCCTCTCATCCATAGCACTTGTTATGTCCTCCATTAGCTCAGTAATGGCCAGAGATGTCGATCGACCTAAAACTATATTGGCAATCAGAGAGGATTTTATGTCTATCAATAAATGTGTCTAATCTGTTATTAAAAAGTTTTTCCAAGATTTTTGAAAACTGTGACAACAGAGAAACCGGTCTATAATTTGTGAAGTTGTGCTTATCCCCAGATTTGTACAAAGGAACAACCTTTGCTATTTTCATATTTTTCGGGAACTGACCAAGTCGAAACGACATGTTAAAAACATGGGTTAATGGTTTGCATATCCCCTCGATTGCCCATTTAACCATTGTCATACTAATACCATCACTATCACTGGATGATTTATTACCACATTTGTTCACTATATCTATAATTTCCTTTTCAACAATTGGCTCAAGAAACATAGAACCCATATTTCTTTCAATTGTATTGTTATTTATATTAACGTCTGTACAGATGGTACTTGCTAAGCTAGGACCCACATTCACAAAAAACCTATTAAACTCCATTTTCTTAATGGGAGTTGTCATGTTATCTAATTTACAATGTCTCCTTGTGCAAGACCATAACTTCTCTCAAGAGGAAGAATAAGCTATTCTTACTGTGAACACGCAAAAAATGTTTCATCCTAGAAAACTGGTGAAATTATTAGCCACCACACATTACTGACACAAAGTATTAAATGTTTTAAACAGGAGTAACCAGAGCATTTGTTGGGGACTATTTTAAGGAGCGGATTAATACACATTAGTGGTTGCGGTTGCAAAAAATAAACTTCCAAGCCCGGTCTCCCAATCCAACACTGCAGCTCACTCGTGCTTTTAATAATTTTTGGACAACAGTATTTTTGGCTCACCATTTCATGTTTTGCTTTTAATAGAATATCACGATATTTAACTTTTAAGCAATGCAACATTTACATTCCAGATTCTAAATCACACCCTGTCTACAGCCTTGAAATTTTAATGCACAGAAGAACAAAATAACAGTGTCCACTAGTGAGTTGATCACATTCAAGAACCCCTTTATCAACCAAGACTTAAACAGATTAATTAGTTTAGGTATAAGTTGAGTGATGCAGCAGGGCAATGACCCTAAACACTGAAGTAAATAATAGGATAAGGATAATCACATTTATCGCCCAAGTACTGTATGTTACACACAAGGAATTTGTTGAGTCCAGACCTCAACTCAGAGATGCTGTGGAATGGGTATACTAAACCTAAGACTTGCTCAGTTAACTGACCCAAATGCCACAAATGGTGCCAATTAGTTAATTCATGGAGTGTAACTAGATGGAGCTCGTCTCTAAACCACACTGCTGAAAACTGTTTATGTTGTATCTAGAAAGGTCATTGTGGCTAACTCCAGGTCCAGGGCACATACACACACAGACTGAGAAAGATGTAAAATACTGGGGAACTCCCAAAGTGCCTGCATCCATCAATGGACAAGTCTAGACAAGACAAATAATATATTTCACAGAAGGAAGAGGACAGAGGGGCAAAGAAATAGTAGTATTAGATTGTAAAAAAGAGAGGTGCAATTAGAGACAGTTGTTCTTATGTGCTGCACACCTACCTCTATCTCATAGTAGCCATGAGTCATGTCATGTTCTTTAGCCTACAATACAAGTCAACAGAGTATCACAAGCAAAAATTAAATTTAAAAGTTCTATTTCTCTGTACTGTATGTGAGAAGCAGCCACTTACAGCCTCAATTAAAATGTCTTGCATGTATTAAAATCCATTAGATGATAACTGGGGGTTAATGTGCACTTAAAAGACCTTACATTGTTGAGTCTGCAGGCATTTGCGGGGAAAGACACTTTAGATTTTGTGCACTGTCCTACTCCTCGGGTTGCTGAGGGTGTTATTTCATTTCTGTCCGTGATGTGACTGTGAATGAACTGGAACTCTCGTGCTATTCATCCAAATCATTTTCAGTGATCTATGGTACATATGATTTACTGGGCCAAAACATACAAAACCAAATGCATGATCTTTTTATGGCTTCTCACACCATGTAATCTGCACAAATGCAAAAAGCTAATTACTCAGTGAACGTATGTGAGCGTGTACAGTAATAGGGGATTTCCAATAAAGGGCCGTACCAAAACGTGCCAAACCGATTAAGACATGTCACGGGTACTGTGTGTTTCCACTACATTCAGCCCGCTTTGGAGGAATGGTCCAGGAGCTAAATTTCAGCACCCCTCAGGAGGCAGTACTAAAATCAAGTACCAGGACCGTGCAGGGGGAGGGGGTGTGTGCAAGTAGAGTAGTCACCAGTGATTGGATAAATGTCCACATCTTCACACCTCAACTATTAGCATTACAAGCACTGTGTGTAAACACACAGCTGGTTGTGAGAGAGGAGCAGCTCCTCCCTCCTCTAAACAGAGACTGACAAAAAGAAAATATAGTGCAAAAACAAAGCAGGACAGCCCAGGTCAACCCCAGAGGCTATGCTTGGTGATGGTTAAGGGAAGTACAGGGTATACCACTTGCTAAGGTCTACTAGTGGAAATGTAGCTAAAGTGTCTATAACAAATCACGCAACGGAATGTAGGGCAGACAATTTATGACTGTAGAACAACA